GGGGGGTGATTTCTCGCTTTCTGTCTCTCTGTCTCTCTCTGTCTGTCTGTCTGTAACAAAAAACTCTCCAAAAAAAAAAGATAAAGACTATAAGAAGAGACAAAGAAGGGCATTATATAATAGTAAATGAGGTAATCTAGCAAGAAGACATAACCCTTATAAATATCTATGCATCCAACTCAGGTGCACCAAATATGTTAAGGAAAGAATGCTGGAGCTAAAATGAGAGATAGGGAGAAAAACTATAATTGTTGGAGATCTCAACACCCCATTATCTACTTTAGAAAGATCTTCTAGACAGAAAATAAATAGATACAGAACCTAAATACTATAAATCAAATGTGCGTGACAGATATCTATAGAACTTTCCACCCTACATCCACAACGTATACATTTTTCTCACCCCAGCATGGAATCTTTTCAAAGATTGATTATATGTTAGAACATAAATCAAGCCTTTACAGATTCAAAGGCATAGAAACTATATTCAACATCTTCTCTGATCATGATGGAATTAAACTCAAGATTAATTTCAAGAAACATTTCCGAAAATACACAAACACATGGAATCTGAACAACCTACTTCTGAATGACTTCTTTTTTTTTACTTTTTAATTTTAATTATCATCATAATCTTCTTTATATTAAATTGGATTACAGATAACTTTACAGTGTATTACATTGCTCTTTCAAAAGGGAAGGGGAGGGAACCAGCACTAAGCGTAATGGCTATGTCGCTGGACTCCCACGTAGTCGACCACGGTTTGTGTCCCAGACCCGGTGGCTTAAAACTCACGCCGGGCACATGTGCGTGCCCAAGATCCCGAGAGGAGAATCGAGAAGAAGGGATTGCGGTGTGACCATCTCCCCTGGGGGGTGATTTCTCGCTTTCTGTCTCTATGTCTCTCTCTGTCTGTCTGGCGAGCGCACGCGCCCTACAGTGAAAATCTCTCCCAAAAAAAAAAAAAAAAAGGGAAGGGGAGAGTGATGGCAGCTGCGGTCGCTGTTCGGAATGGTCTAGGGAGGAAAAAGTTGACACACTTGGTAACGGCTGAAGTCTGCGTTAAATGTCCCAGCACTCATGAGGTGCTGTGGAGAAGAAATTGTTTACAATATAGACAGGAAACCAGCAATGAAGACCTGCCTGTTCCAATGGAAAATCATTATAAGGAGCCTCTTTAAAAATGTGTCATGTGCGAGAAACGTGTAGATTATAAGAATGTACAGCTTTTGTACATTCTTTTGTACATGTTCGTTTATTGGATGCATTCATGGAAGGCACATAACAGAAACAGAAAGAAGTCTCAAAAGCAATTAAGAGAGCTCAAATAATGGGGTTTATGTCAGTTATGTACAAGGATCCTGCATATCGCAAAGACCCTAAAGTTTGTAACATCAAATATCGGGAATAAATTACATAAGGTTATTATCAATAAGTGTATTTTACCAAAAAAAGGGAATGCCATGCATGTCAGTCAATACAGAGACATTAATCTCCCCACTTCATCATTCGATATCTTTTGAATATTTTTCCCAATCATTATTATTATTATTCTAATTATTATTTTTCTTAAACAATCATTTTGCTTGTAAAAAGACTTTATCTATCATGAAATACTTCTCAGACCAATCCAATTGAAAATACTATACATGTCATCATCAACAGGTAATAAGCCATATCTGTTTCCCACTGATGTCTTGCCTCTCTATTTGTTCTCTTGCTATATTTCTCTATCCTCTTTTCTTCACCCCCCATTCCCCCCTATCTTATTCTCATTAAGTATTTTCACTGCTTTTATGTCCTCCAATGTTTCATTCTCTACCATAGAGTGCAGATAGTCAGTATATAATAAGTGGAAACATATAATATCTTTCTTTCATAGCCTGGCTTACTTCACTCAGCAATATATCCTCCATATCTGACCACTTTCTATCAAAGGCCAGGTTCTTGTTATTTTTTATGGCTGAGTAGTATTCCATAGAGTATATATACTACACTTTTCCAATCCATTCATCAGTTTGTAGGCATTTAGGTTGATTCCATGTCTTATCAATTGTGAATAATGCTGCAATAAACATTGTTGTGCAAGCACTTTTCCAACTAAGCATTTTCCTGTCCTTTGGATAGATACACAGAAGTGGGATTGCTGGATCAATTGGTAGTTCTGTTTGTAGATCTTTGAAGAACCTCCATATTGTTCTCCACAGTGGTTGAACCAGTTTACATTCCCACCAACAGTGTAAGAGGGTTCCCTTTTCACCACATCCCTTCCAATACTTACCATTTTTTATATTCTTAATCTATGCCATTCTGACAGGGGTTAGGTGGTATCTCATTGTGGTATTTATCTGCATCTCCCTTATGGTGAGGGATGTTGAGCATTTCCTCATATGCTTTTTGGCTGTTCGTATGTCTTCCTTAGAGAGATTTTTGTTCAGCTCATTTTCCCATCATTTAATTGGATTCATCATTTTTTTCGCATAAGGCACTTGAGTTCCCTATGTATTCTGGTTATCAGTCCCTTGTCTGAGGCATATTTAACAAAAATATTTTCCCATTCTGAGGGTTGTCAGTTAACATTTGTTACTATGTCCTTTGCTGTGCAGAAAATTCTTAGTCTGATATAGTCCCACTTGTCTATTTTAGGGATTATTGCCTATGCTTTAGGAATCTTATTTAAGAAGTCTTTGCCTACTCCAATGTCTCCCAGAGTTTAACCAGCATTTTCCACTAGTAGTTTTATTGTTTGAGGTCTTAGGTTCAGATATTTGATCTATTTTTAGTTAATTTTTGTTAATGGTGAAAGATGGGGGTTCAGTTTCATCTTTCTGCAGGTGGATACCCAGTTTTTCCAGCACCATTTACTAAAGAGGTTTTCCTTTTCCCAATGGATTGACTGATATCCTTTGTCAAAGATCAGTTGGCTATAAGCTTTGGGAGTTATTTCTGGGGTCTCTATTCTCTTCCATTGGTCCACATGTCTGTTTTTATGCCAATACCATGCTGTTTTGATGACCACAGCTTTATAGTATATCTTGGGATCAGGGAGTGATATGCCTCCTACTCCATTCTTCTTACGCAGGATTGCTTTTGCAATACGAGGTCTTTTATGGTTCCAGACAAATTCTATAATTGTCTTTTCTAGATCTCTGAAGAATATCTCTGGTATTTTGATTGGAATTGCATTAAACATGTAGATTAATTTGGGTAGAATTGCCATTTTGATTATGTTAATTCTACCAATCCAGGAGCATGGGATGTCCTTCCACTTTTTTATGTCACTTTCAATGTCTTTTTTAAGATTCTCGTAGTTTTCTTTATAAAGGTCTTTGACTTTCTTAGTTAGGTTTATCCCTAGATATCTTATACATCTTGTGGCTACGGTGAAAGGGATTCCTTTCTTCAGCTCTGCTTCATTCAACTTGTTGTTCATAAATAGAAATGCTATAGATTTTTGGATATTGATTTTGTATCCTGCCACCTTACTGTATTCACTTATTACTTCAAGCAGTTTTTTCATGGATACCTTTGGGTCTTCTAAGTATACCATCATGTCATCTGCAAATAAAGATATTTTCAACTCTTCTTTGCCTATTCGAATGCCTTTAATACTGTTCTCTTCTCTGATTGCAATAGCTAAGACTTCCAGTACTATATTAAAGAGCAGTGGAGAAAGTGGGCAGCCTTGCCTAGTACCTGTTTTCAGAGGAAAAGCTTTCAGCTTTTCCCCATTCAGTATAATATTAGCTGTAGGTTTTTCATAGATTGCTTTTATTGTGTTCAGAAATGACCCTTCTATACCAATCTTACTGAGAGTCTTAATCATAAAAGGATGTTGTATTTTATCAAACGCTTTCTCCGCATCAATTGAGATGATCATATGGTTTTTATCTTTCTTTCTGTTAATGTGGTGTATTACATTTATGGTCTTGCGTATATTGAACCACCCTTGCATCCCTGGTATAAAGCCTACCTGGTCGTGATGAATGATCTTTGTTATATGTTGTTGGATACGATTTGCGAGTATCTTGTTGAGAATTTTCGCATCTATATTCATCAATGATATTGGTCTGTAGTTTTCCTTTTTTGTCATATCCTTATCTGTTTTGGGGATGAGGATGATGGAGGCTTCATAAAATGAATTTGGAAGGTTTCCTTCCTTTTGAATCTTTAGAAATAATTTTAGTAAGATAGGGGTTAATTCTTCCTTGAAAGTTTTGTAGAATTCACAAGTGAAGCCATCTGGGCCTGGGCTTTTCTTTGTTGGGAGATTATTAATTACTGATTCAATCTCCTGGCTTGTTATAGGTCTATTCAGATTCTCTATGTCTTCCTGATCCAATCTTGGTAGTTTATATGCATCCAGGAATTTGTCCATCTCCTCCAGGTTATCTTGTTTGTTGGCGTAAAGTCGCTCATAGTATCCTCTAATGATATTATGTATTTCTGCTATGTCCGTGGTAATATTGCCTGTTTCATCACATATTTGATTAATCTGGTTTCTTTCTTTCTTCTTCTTGATCAGTCTAGCCAATGGAGTATCAATCTTGTTGATCTTTTCAAAGAACCAGCTTTTGCTTTCATTTATTTTCTGTATGGTTCGTTTATTTTCTATTTCATTTATTTCTGCTCGAACCTTTATTATTTCTTTTCGCCTGGCATTTTGGGGGTTCGTTTGTTGTTGTTTTTCCAGTTCTCTGAGGCATGATGATAAGTTATCTACTTGCCATCTTTCCATCCTTTTCTTATGTGCACTAATTGCTATGAATTTCCCTCTTATGACTGCTTTTGCTGTGTCCCATAGGTTCTGGACACTTGTGTCCTCATTATCATTTGTTTCCATAAATTTGTTTATTTCAGCCTTAATTTCTTCAGTAGTGAAGAAGTCATTCAGAAGTAGGTTGTTCAGTTTCCATGTGTTCGTGTGTTTTCGGGGTTGTTTCTTGAAATTAATCTTGAGTTTAATTCCATCATGGTCAGAGAAGATGCTGGGTACAGTTTCTATGCCTTTGAATCTGTAAAGGCTTGATTTGTGTCCTAATATATGATCTATCTTTGAAAAGGTTCCATGTCGGGGTGAGAAAAATGTATATGTTGTGGATGTAGGGTGGAAAGTTCTATAGATATCTGTCAAGCCCATTCCATTTATAGTATCATTTAAGTCCTGTATCTCTCTATTTATTTTCTGTCTAGAAGATCTGTCTATAGGAGATAACGGGGTGTTGAGATCTCCAACAATTATAGTATTTTTCCCTATGTCTCCTTTTAGCTCCAGCAGTCTTTCCTTCACATATTTAGGCGCACCTGAGTTGGGTGCGTAGAAGAGGAGAGTGGGAGATAGCTGAGGGTAAGAGATAGGGAATCAAGAATGGGGGGAAAAAAACAAAACATACAGAAAACAAGAAATGGAAAATTATTTGCTGACAATAACATGTTTGTTGATGTGCTTAATTGAGACAACATACAGTGTACTCTGGATGGAAAATCTCATTTTGTATGTTGTAATGATGTACAGTGAATGAATGCAAATAAATTCATTTAAATTTTAAAAAAGAAAAACTGTGGCACATATACTCTGTGGAGTACTATTCAGCCATAAAAACCAACACAACCCTGGCTTTTGACAGAAAGTGGAAGAATACATAAGATATACTGCTGAATGAAGCAAGCGAGGCTATGAAGGTGAGACATTGTATGTCCCCACTTAATATATACCGAGTATCCACACTCTATGACTAAACCTGATGGGCTAAAGGATGTACAAACACAAGAGATGGGTGTGAATACCAGATGTGGTGTGTGTGGCAGAGTGGGGCCTGGGGAAGGACATTTGGAGGAGGGACACAGAGACAGAGTATTGTTAGACAGGGAAGTAGTGTTGATATATTTTGATCAACTGGACCGGGGAGAAATGTCCACATATTGAAATAGTCATCTTGTAAGCTAAATAATGTGACTGAATGTATAAAAAAAGTATATAAATAAACAGATAAAATTAAAAAATAAGAAAGACAGACAGAAACAAAGTGACAGAAAGCAAGAAATCATACCCCAGTGGTGATGGCCACACCACAATCCCTTCTCCTCCATTCTTCTCTCGGGATCTTGGGCACACACGCACATTCGCCTGGTGTGAACTTAAGCCACCAGGTCCAGGACTAGAACTACGGTCGACTACATGGGAGTCCAGTGACATAGCCATTAAGTTAACTGATGGTCCCCAATTCCTCTGATCTTCCTAATATTACAAATTAATCATTGCTTTTCTCAAAATCACAGAAAATTACCACAGAATTAATTTTTTTAGAATTATATTACTTACTTAGTTACTTATTTATGTTAATTTGACCTAAAAAAAAGAATTATATTATTTACTTAGTTACTTATTTATGTTAATTTGACCAGAGAGGAACAGCAAAAGA